GACATCCCTTTTTCATTGTTCTAAAAATTGTTTAGACACACATGTGAGCTATCTAAGGAAAGGTGTGTGATTTTGGATACATGTCAAAGCTAGTGGGAGCATAAGTGTTATGCTAATAATTATCATGATTAGTGGGAGCATGATTTTTATGTTAAGTTTTGCAAGTTAGCAATGTTAATTATAGAAAACAAAAGTTTCAATTTGCAAAGTTGAGTGTTTGAAAAGTTGTTTTTCTATAACTAAGGGAGAGGAAATTATACTTCATCCCAATTCTAAAAGCTTAGATTGAGATTTTAATCAAATTTAGTCTAGTATATATATGAATGTTATGTTGGAATGGTTCAACATAAGGAAATTCTATATATGGGAACATTATTTGCGTTCTAAAATTCGATTATGATTACGGCATCCCTTTTCATAATCTGAATTATGAGAACATGGGAAATAGAAATAGAAATATTATAGCAAAATACTGGTCTAGTATCGTGTCATTATGTGAGACATCATGAATCGTGTCCCATATGCTTCAGATATAGGATCGATTACATGTGCCGTAATATTCATCCGTTCTAAATTTTCCAAATGCCTAGGGCATTAAGAGGGAAAAGGACTAGAACTGGATATGACTAAAATGATTAAGCAATTGTCTAGGACAATCTGAGGTTTACCAAAGATTGGTTGCTCATGGACAGTTGGAAGTATGGTGTAAATTTTGGAAAGGGCCATATTGACATATTCTGAAAAGAGGCAACTCTTTTTCAGAAGTGATAGTCAAAATGAGAGTACGAAAATGTTTCCATGGGTGGAAGTTATACATTAAATCTGTGTAAGATTAGAAAACTTAATGCAAGAAGGATGTTCAAAGGAATGTACTTTGAATATGAGACTTCGTTTCCATGGAATTGATCTCAATTGGAATACTTTGTAAATGTCTGTTGCCAAGTCTTTGTGACTTTTGTGCATAGTCATTACAAGAGGAATAATGCATATAAGTTTAGAATCTAACACATTTCAGTAAATGCCAAAGAATCTTGTATTCTTACATTTGCGGTAAGGATTTGGGATTGTGAAACGAGCATCATTGGAATCATGTTCAATTGGTCTATTTCACAGAGTAAGGATCATAGACAAACATAGTGTGCATACTTGGAGTATGGCATAACTATTGTTTGGACAAACATAGTGTGCATGCTTGGAGCATGACATGACTATTTTTTTAATTCAAGTATTAGGTTGATAAATCTAAACATTATACAATGAATAATGTGTAATCAATATTGTGATAAATAAAAGGTGTTTTATTTATATTCATAAGTTCTGAGACCATATTAGATTCGATTATTCTTGTGTTTCTCTTTGCATGTTTTGACTTCCCGAATAACTAGGTTATTCAAACTCTCTACAGTCAATCATACTTTGGAAGTAGGTATGAATCAAGACTGTCATGAATTGGGCTTGTAGATGTCTAAAGTGTTTAGACATAGCAAAAGTTGCTGAAACATTCATGTGTGCTCCTGGAATGAGATTCGAGTATTGGATTAAACCCACGCTCATTTGACTCACTTCATGGATTTTATCACGAGTGATCATGAGACGATAATATCTTATATTCTTCAAACCTAGAGATATGAGTTGTTGACTATGAGTTGGTTGTACATTGATTGTACGAAAACGCATCAGTAACTTGATGTTATAAAACGTGCCTTTGTGTATGATTCAACAAGTAGTTGGTACAAGCATATGAGTCGAAGTTTATCCATTCCTTTTACCATTGGAGGGATAAAAGCGATATCTATGGGCCCCTCGATGATTTAGTACTGACAAACGTAAGTGCTCGGCCGGGCCTGAACTGATTTGATTTGTTCAATTAGTCGGTCGTCATAAATCGGAAATCGGGAAACAAAAAATGGATAGAGAGAATGATTATAATCCATGTCTCATTCCATATGATATCTAGAATGGAGGAATATATGATCCCTTATCTAATGGACGTGTCATTGACTAGGTCAGAGTTCGACAGCGGCTTTTAAGAGCTACGATTGCTAGTCGGGTTTTGGCGTCATACTTTCAATAATAGTTTTAGACATATCCAAGTGGGAGACTGTTGGATTAGATGTCTAAGCCCATAACTATTATTGGTATGTACTCGACCCGAGAGTAGCATGGTCCATTTGGGTTGCATATCATCAGGACAATTTGTTAGGATGGACTTTTGAGAGAATGTTATATATGATTTATTAATATATTATAATTTATAACATATTAATATGAAATCATATGTTTTAATTAGTATTGATCAAGAATTAATTTGGAATTAATTTAGTGATCAAAAGAAACTAATTAAATCTATGGGGACTAATTATGGTAATTAGTTATATTTATATGTGTTGGGCTTATGATCCATGTTGGACCAAGTTTATGTGTGGATTCATAAAGAGTTGGGCCACATGAACCATGGATCATAAACCCATGGGTATGGATTTGGGTTATACCCATGACCCTTGAAATCCAACATATAAATACATGCTCTTAACCTAAAAACGCCTACATGCTTGTTCTTGGAGTTCATGGGTGTTTTTGGGTGCATGGAATTCTCTCTCAAGTTCCACCTTTGTCCATGATGTGTTGTGACTTCATTTGAGGCTTCCACACTATTGGGGCTAAGCTTTTAAAGGCCAAATTCATCAAGTTCTACAAACTATACAAAGAGGTAAAACTTCTAACTAGTATTTTATGTAGTTTATATAATTTGTATGCTAGTTGTAGGCTTAAAGCTTTGGAAACAATATTGCATGTATAGTTAGATAAAACATAGATCCAAAGCTTTTAGGGTTGTATGTGCACCATAGGATGTTGTAGATACAAAAACCCAACACAAGGATCTAGGACTATTTCATCTTTTGGCACTTAAAGGAGGTATAAAGCTCCTAACTTTCCTCTTGGAAGCTTAGATCTAGGATTATGGAGATTTGGACCTTTTTAGGTCCAAAGGTTGGATCTTTATCATGCAACTTCGTTTTTGAGCTTAGGGTTGCCACCCTTGGAGCTCCAAGCCTTCCTTAAGCAGTACAGTTTCAACCTTTAAGGCCTTTATGAAACCATGCATGAGATCTAGCCATTTCTATGGAGTTAGTTGCTATTATTCAATGTTGGGCTCATTTGGTGGGTTGCAAGCCACTAAGTGATCGACTTTATGGATCAAGACATTAAAGAGGACTTGGATCTGTAATTATAGCCTTTGTATTAGAGTATTAATCACTTAATGGGAAAAGTGACTCAATAGGGAAGTACGCGCAGCGTATACGCCATTTAGTCAGTACGCTTAGCATATAGAGGAGTACACCCGCGTACTCAACAGATATGGGCTTGGCGTGTTTTGGGCCTCGGTTTGGCCTATACCTTGGATTTTGGGCCTTAGAGGGCTGGGTCTGGACTATTGGGCCCTGTGGCCTACTGTGGAGTATAATTCTGGGCCCGGGAATTTAGAATTGGAAGTATTAGGCCTTTTGAGCCATATTGGTCCATTCGAGATTATTCATTTTGGGCTAAGGAGTTATTGGACTTGTGAAAAGGCCCATTTGAAGAGTTGGGCCCAATTTCGAAAATTGGGCCATTAGTGGGCCTTAGGGAGCCTTTGATGGGCCATGGGTGCACTGGGTTAATAAATTAGAACTGGGCCTTAGGAATGGTTCGAGTTGGGCCAAGGGGGTAAAATGGTCATTTTACCCTAAGTAATGTTATAGATTCTGATTGAGTATTATTATGATTATGATAGCCGGGAGTCATCATAGCAGCTGTTAGAGGTTACTTCCCGTGAGATTTGACACTCAGCTTTACAAGGTGAGTTACCTTCCAGTAGAAGTGGGTCTAAGGCCACAATGTCGGCTCACTAGTAGGAGTTGTTTGTTAGATAATTGTCTTTGTGATAATTATCTAGGTTTGCTACTGTCTGATATGTTTTACATGCTAGTATAATATGATGTTATGTGATAGTAGTAGTAAGGGGAATAGTCCCCGATTATCGGTCGATAGGGCCGAATGGGTAGTATAGTACCCAGCTATGCTTGACAGTATGATTATATTTTGTTATCATGTGGTAGTAGTAGGGGTGAAATAGTCCCCGTAACCGGTTGAGATAAACCGGAGGGGTAGGTCGGACACCCAGTATGTCTGACAGTGGTAGGTTAGGCACCCCGGTATGCCTAGCAGGGTAGGTCGGGCACCCAGATATGCCTGTCAGTATGTTTATAGTATGGTATGTTGTATGATGGGGAACTCACTAAGCTTCGTGCTTACAGTTTACAGTTTTGTTTTCAGGTACCTCTCCATCGAAGGGGAAGGAGCTGGCACGGTAGCAGCGCATCGCACACACACTCGATTTTCGCACTATGATGTCCTTGGGATTGTACTCTGACATTATTATTATTCCATGACATGTTTTTATGACATTTGACTTATGGGTTATGAGTTGATATGATATTGATGTTGTTTTTCAGTAAATGGTTTTAATAAATTACTTAATCAATTTGGGATGTTACAAGTCGGTCATAAGGACTGAATGTGTACATTTTAACAAGTTGAAGGGGTAAATGTGGACGAAAAAAACTCAGTGACCAAATGTGTATAAATCGAAAAATACATTACATTTTTAAGTCATTATCCCAAAAAAATGGATATATTAGTAATTTGACATGTATTTAACTATTTTTAATAGAGTTAACCAAAAAGTACCAAGTATACTTGATTTTGAAACAATAGTTATCATCCTTTTCCCTATGTTGTCCTCAAATTGTCATTTTTTCGAAAAGTATGGGGAATAATTTTGAGATTTTGTCTAATTTACATAGCCAATCAGAAAATCAAGAAATCCTCTGATTCTAACAGCTTATCCTCATAGAGAATCAAGTTCTCCTTCCGCTGATGACCATATCCAGATAACCTATCTCTCCCCCATCGTCCTTTCATCTCAATATTTTTCAGTTCAGCAGTAAAACCAGCAAATGTCTCTGCCATCGCAGACGCCGCCACCATCAGTGCACAAAACCCTTCCCACGTCTTTCTCTGATTTCATCTTCTCCGCTTTCTCTCTCTTCAACCTCTACTCCTCTACGCCTAACCCATCTTCCAGTTATAATCATCATCGCCGTTTCTCTAAGCTTCCTATTAACCCGTTAACTAAGAATGCCGTGATCAACCAGCATCACTTTTCCACCCCGCAATCCCTCTCCGATTGGCTCCGCCCCCGTCTTCCCTCCGATTCATTCGCCGCTTGGGGAACCAGACCCGGCACCAAGAACATCCACAACCTATGGATGGAGCTCTACGAGGGAGAAACTTCTCTCGCCGACTCTACCCCCCCTGTTCGTACGGTGGAAGTGGTCGTGGTTCGCGTGAGGGATGATAGAGATAGAGTCTTGATCGAATCCCACCAAGAACTGTCAAACGGCCATGTTAGAAACCGGTCGAGACCGCTATCTGAGAAAATGAAGCCTGGGGAGACGGTAGAAGAAGCTGTTGCCAGAGCGGTGAAGGAAGAACTAGGTTCGATTATAAACGGTTCTTGTGAAGATGAGATTGTGGAAATTATACCTGGTTCTTATTCGAGTAAGATGGAGGAAAAGCTTTCTGTATCATACCCTGGATTGCCAGCTTGCTATGTTTTACATACTGTAGATGCTCTGGTTCATGGTTTGCCAGATTGTGAATTTTGCACCATAGAAGAGGAGAACAATGAAATTTTCGATGGCATGGAAGTGGCTGAAGGAGCAGTTTCGTGTAAGAAACACTACTGGAAATGGGTTGATTCTAATTAATACCGTTTCACTATGATTTTTGCATGTATATATGTATATATGGGTGGAGGTGAGTTTAAGAACTGCATTTCTTTGTGCATATAGTTCACACTTGAGTGTTGGAACAAAATAATGAAAAGAAGCTTTCTGTAGCTTCAGTAAGGTGTAAAAGTAAAACTGATCTTTTAATTATAAACTTGAGTATACATGTATAGTGCTAAGTTGTTTCTTTTTGTATTGTACGTACATAAAATCTCGGTCGTTTTTTTTTTCTTGGTAGAATAACCGTAATAACATCACCTTAGTCTCATACAAATAATGGGGTAAGGGAAGGTAATTAAGCCCTGTTAGAAATTTCGGGTAATAAACCCACTTGGATATTGTGAGAATTATGATTCCACTTTCAAATCTAAGTATTTGGGTGATATTCTTTAATCTTTGATTGGATAGGACTCAGAATAGAAAAGAACAGATAATGAGATGTATTAATTTCTTGAGTACCGGTCCAAAAATTGGTTAAAACATTTTTTGTCCGAAAACTGTCAAAACTGTCATAAATCAGTTTTTTCAACAGTTAAAACCGTCATAAATCCATGTTTTCTATAAGGATTAATGCAAAGCCAAAAACGGGTCAGATATTCAAAATTTGGATTTCTGATGTATTTTTAATACAGCAATATAACCCAAATAAAAAATTTCCGTCAGAAAAATCGACCCCAGCCAGGGGCTCTGCCCCTTGGTGCCCCTTGGACTCCGCTCCCAGGGGCGATGCCCCCGGACCCCCATTCGTTCAGGGGTTTTGCCCCTAAATGACAATCTACTTTTAATCTTGAATAAATTTAAACAAATGTGCACTCTGCACCTTCTTTACTTGTTTAATATTCATCAAGATTGATTTTTGGTCAACAAGTCAACTCATTACACTTAAATACAATTAGTGAAACAAATCACCAACAAACCTCCCCCATTTAAGTGTAATCTTGATTAACTTAAAACAAAAAATATAACAACAAACTGATGCATAAATGAAATATCGTGACGATTGAATTTCACATTAGTATATTACTCATTCCAAATATTCGAATATCAGGGTGTCACTAAGGATTGAACAATTTCTATTCTAAGTGACTACATGAAGATAATATACACAACAATTTACATTCTCAAAGTTCTAACTTGACACTATATTTTACTAGCTTGTGTCCCATCTTTCAATAAGCATATCAAAGTCAAGTCCCAACTTCTTGAAGCAGCTAAACTTCATGCTTATATAGGTAGTTCTTATGTTCTTGCACCTGCAAATGCAATTTTTCAAAGAACTATTAAGAAATTAAATTTCAACATACTTAACTTGCAGTACTGAACACATACATTGGGATCATGATAATAATGTGTTCCAATCTTCAAATCAAGCTTTCCACATTGAATTCAACATCTAATATTGCATTAGATGGGAATTGGGTATCTTAATATAAAAGATTTTAGGTGGACTTTAAACTCATCCCTACAACCGCCTTGTGCACAAGATCTCTAGCTAACCCTTTGGTTAAATGATCGGCTAAGTTCAACTGAGTTCTCACAAACTCCACAGATATCACACCAGTCATGATGAGCTCACGAATCATGCTATGTCTAACACCTAAATGTCTAGACTTCACATTATACACTTGACTATAAGCCTTAGCCAAGGATACAACACTATCACACCTAAAAAGAATGGTAGATATCGGTTTTGGCCAGAGTGGAATTTCATAAATCAAATTCCTTAGCCACTCAGCTTCTTTACCAGCAGCAGACAATGCAACAAACTCAAATTCCATGGTTGAGTTAGTAATACAAGTCTGTTTCTTGGATGCCCAAGAAATGACACCTCTTCCAAGAAGAAACACCCAACCATTAGTAGATGAGTGATCCTCTAAGTTGTTAATCCAGCTGACATCAGAATAACCTTCCAAAACAAAAGGATATCCACTATAAGTTAAACCATAATTTATGGTCCCTTTCGAATACTTGAATACTCTACTCACAACTTGCCAATGATGTGAACTAGGATTACTAGTATATCTACTAAGCCTTCCAATAGCATATGCTATATCAAGCCTAGTACTAATCATGACATACATCAGACAACCAATAGCCCTTGAGTATTCAAGTTTTGAGACACTAGAGATCCTTTATTAGGTAGAAGCTTAAGACTTGGATCTATAGGAGTGCTAACAAGAGAACAATTCTCAAAATTAAACTTTTTCAATATCTTCTCAATGTAATGGGCTTGAGAAATTGAAATCCCATTGTTTCCTTGTTTAATTCTTATACCAAGAATTACCTCAGCCTCCCCTAGGTCTTTCATTTCAAAACTAGATGATAAGAATTTCTTGGTTTTATCAACTTCTTCTAAATCAGTACCAAAAATCAACATATCATCTACATATAGACAAATCATAACTCCTTTACCAGAAGTATCAATTTTTGCTATATACACACTTGTCAGCTTGGTTTAATGCAAAACCATTACACAAGACAACATCATCAAATTTTTGATGCCATTGTTTTGGTGCTTGTTTCAAACCATATAATGATTTCTTCAACTTGCACACTTTGTGTTCATTTCCAGGAATCACAAACCCTTCAGGTTGTTTCATGTATATTTCCTCATCCAAGTCACGATTAAAGAATGCAATTTTCACATCCATTTGGTGAATCACAAGATTATTTATAGCTGTAAGAGCTAATAATAATCTAATAGTGGAAATTCTGGCAACAGGAGCATAAGTATCAAAGAAATCAATGCCTTCCTTTTGTCTAAAGCCTTGGATAACCAATATGGCTTTATACTTATCAATTGTGCCATCCACCTTCATTTTCCTTTTGAGGATCCATTTATATCCTAATGCCTTGCAACCAGGAGGTAAATCAGACAATGCCCAAGTATTGTTATGCATGATAGAATCAATTTCATCATGAATTGTCTCTTTCCAGAAATGAACATCCCTAGAAGCCATAGCTTCACTGAAAGTCTTTGGATCCTCCTCAATATTAAAACAATATTGATGTTGAGACACAGTCTCATCCCTTGTTCCTTCAACTAAATATAGTTGAAAATCAAATCCAAAAGATTTAGCTTTTCTAGATCTAGTACTCTTTCTAAATTCAGGCACAAAACTTGTACCACCAGAAGCATCTTCAGCTTTAGTTGTGTTCTTGTTGAAAGATTGTTGAATCATGTCCTTTGGTCTAGGTATAGATGTAAATCTTTCTTCATCAAAGATAGAATCTCTTGACTCTATAACAGTGTTCATAGACACATAGTCATTAGATTCTAAAACATAGAATCTATAAGCTTTAGAATGCTCAACATATCCAATAAAGATACAATCTATGCCTCTTTGACCCAATGTTTTCCTTTTGGGTTCAGTGAGCCTCACAACTGCTCGACAACCCCAAACTTTGAAATAACTCAAATTTGGTACATTTTTACACCAAAGTTCATAAGGAGTATTCTTATTCCTTTTGTTTGGAGTTCTATTCAAAATATAACATGCAGTTAACATAGCCTCACCCCAGAAACCTTCACTTAAACCTGAATAGGACAACATGGAATTAACCATTTCTTTTAAAGTCCTATTTTTTCTTTTCAGCTACACCATTTTGTTGTGGTGTATAAGGAGCCGTGGTTTGATGTATTATTCTAGTTGATTCAAAATAAACCGGATCATAATACTCACCACCTCTATCAGTACGTAAAACTTTTATTAATTCATTTTTATGAAGTTCAACCTCTTGTTTATAAATCTTAAATTTATCAAGAACTTCATCTTTGGAATATAGCAAATAGACATAACAATATCTAGATGCATCATCAATAAAAGTAACAACATACTTTTTGTTTCCAAGGGAAGATGTTGCATGGAAATCACATAAATCACTATGTATAAGTTCCAACATCTTGCTTTCCCTAACAACATCTTTGAAAGGTTGTCTTGTAATTTTAGTTAACATGCATGTTTTACATTTTTCATTATTTTGCAAATCAAAAGCAGGAATTAAACTCATTTTAGACATGTCTTTTAATCTCTTGTAATGAATGTGTCCAAGTCTAGCATGCCATAATTTAGATTTATTAAAATTATTTCTAGTACTAGTAGAAGCCTTGCAAACAAAATTATCAATAAAAGGATAATTAATATTAAGACTAATCATTCCATTTCATACATATCCAAATCCCATAAAAGAACCATGTCTTGACAAGATATACTTACCATTTTCTAATACTTGTTTGTAACCACAATTATTTAAAACAATTTCAGACACAAGATTCTTTCGAATCCCCAGTACATATAAAACATTGTTCAGACATAAACACTTTCCAGAAGTAAAGTAAAGTAAAACAGATCCTAAATCATTAATTGGTTCAGTTGCAACATTTCCCATTTTCACCACAGATCCATCTTCAATTGGTTGACATTGCTTGAACTAATGAAGATCTTTACATATATGGCTTGTTGCTCCCGAATCAACCCACCATGCAACTGTTGGATTAGGTGTCTAAGACCATAATTATAATTGGTATGTACTTGACCCGATAGTAGCATGGTCCTTTTGGGTTGCCTTCACCTGAGCAATTTGATAGGATGGATTTTTGAGAAAGATGTTATTTGTGATTTATTAATATATTATATGAATAATATATTAATTGAGAAATCATATTATTTAATTGGTATTGATCAAGAATTAATTTGGAATTAATTTAGTGATCAAAAGACACTGATTAAATTTACAGGGACTGATTAGGTAAATCAGTAATACTTATAGTTTGGACTAATGATCCATGTTGATTAGGGATGGACTAAATCTATGTGAGAGTCCATGAAGATTTAGTCCAAATGGCCTATCATATGGATTATTGGAATACTTAAAGGCTTAAGTACATTAGGGTTTTATGTAAGAAACCCTAAGGATTCCACACTATAAATTGAACCCCTAGCCTTCCCAAAATCGGCCAATCTCTTCCAAGGTGAAAA